TTCACAACTTTAGGAACTTCTTTCTCACTCTCAACCCTATCCCTACCCTTAGGTTCAGGCAATTGTTTCTTATTCCTTAAAACCACAGCACTTATGTTTTCTTTTGGATTTGGAAAAGGTTGAGAAGGGATTCTTTGATTCATTTGAGCCTGCAAGTTGCTTATAATCACATCAGTAGCTGTTTGTTTTTCTTGAACTTGTTTAAGAGTTGAATCGAAACTTGAAAACTTGTCATCCATTTTCTTAAGAATTTGTTCAAACATCTGGGCACTTCTATCTTGGCTAGGTTGATGATTTAAATTCAGATTTCCCCTATTTGCGTGATTAAAATTTTGATTATTGTTTTGAGGAGGACCATATCTAAGATTTGGATGATCCTTCCAGCCCTCATTATAAGAATTTGAGTATGGATCATATTTTCTTTGTTGGTTGTTGTAAAAAACAGCGTTGACTTCAGGATTTTGAAGGGTTGGACAAGCATCAGTTGCATGCCCTTCTAGACAACATACTCCACAATGGATCCCCCTAACATTCCCACCCCAGAAACAAGTTTTGACATCATACAGGTGAGTTTAGAAAGCTTTTGTTCAATTGATTTACTTTCAAGTTCATTGACTTTTTTAACCAGTGTCTCTCTTGTTCCAAATTGTTAGGTGTTTTGAGCAATCAAGTTAAAAAGCTCCCTAGCTTGAGTAGGGGTTTTGTTAACAAGGGCTCCTCCACTTGCAGCATCTACATTATTCCTATCAGTGGGAAGGAGTCCTTCAGAAAAATATTGAATCAACAATTGTTCAGAAATTTGATGTTGTAAGCATGAAGCACAAAGCTTGTTAAACCTCTCCCAATATTCAGAAAAATTTTCACCTATCCACAGATATCCTTCCTAATAGACCCTATCCTAGAGGCTGGGAAGTATTTCTCTAAGAAAGCCTTATGTAAAGCATTCCATGTTGTAAAAGAACCAGCAGGCATATAATACAACCACGTTGGAAACTTCACAACCAGACTCAAGAACAGCTTCACACGGTTGGAAATTAAAAGAGTCAAAAAAGTCCAGCCACACTTACCTGGTGATTGTAACCTAGCTCAATTGTTTCTCCAATAATTCTTCCACTCCTTAACAGCATGCAAAGTACACAAAGCTGCAACTTGAAACAAGAACGGTATTAGAATTCTTAAAACTTATCTTTATCACTTGATTAAGTGCTGCAAAAAGGGCTGATTTTTTTTATTTGGTTTTAGTTCAAAACTTTTATCATTTAGTATCCAAACTCTTTTCATTTTGTCCTTGTAGAGAAATTGACAAATAAGTTCCTTATAGCATCTAAAAATGAATCTCGTCTTACTTAACACTTTTTCTAAACCCATTCATGATATTCATTTAAAAGGGCATATAAAGTCCAGTAGCTCTCTTATTTCAGTCTAAAGACTACTTTTGACGCTGCCCAGATTAGATTTTAGTAGCAAAACATCCTAAAGACATATTAATTTGCATTATAAAGGATATAACTTGACCAAAGATGCGCAAATACCATGATCGGAAATACCTCGAGAGTCAAACAAGGGCGAGAGAGAGCGAATCCAAAAGCTACGACAAGGGTAATTGCTGAAACAGCAGCTCCAGCGGAAGGGGGATAGATTTTCAAACTTGCAACTACACCCCATCCTTCAATAGCTAATGCAACGCCATAAAGCAAAAGAATTGCACCACTGAGGATAGAAAGTAGAACAATTTGTCAAGTACTTAAATATTCCAAGGAAAAATGATGATAAGAACATGAATTTTTTGGATAACATGATAAAAATTCATTGAAAAATGAGAGAACTCCAACACTTCAGCATACAGAGAAGAGTTCAACAAAACCTGACGTTTTTCCCACAATCTGCATGTGCATCGTACACATACACAGGTAACACCCTTGGGGAATAGACTACTATCGAAGGTGAAAGGAGGCACCTAGAGAAGACAATAATTACTGAGTTATTAAAGCAAGAAAACATGTCAAGAAGAAATAGGAAGAACATCTCACTGTGGGAGAGGGCCAACATAACAAGCCATTCTCAGCCCTAAATTATTATTTCAAGAATGATCAACTCACAGACAATGCCCTTCCAGCTAGTAGGAAAAGAAATGAGAAGTAACCAACGGAT